AGAATTAGAACTAGAAATATCCAACACAGAATCTCTAGCATTGCTCTATTTAAATAGAGTTGATCCTTGTGTAGTAATTCACTCGTCCATTCTCCTTTTTTTATTCGCTCGAGAGACGGGCTGCAGCTTTTAACAAGTGGATGTGCAGTGAACCAGTCTATGGTAGCAAAGTAAGAGGACTACAGTGTTTTCACCATGTTTTGTCTTATATAAATATATAGAGTAAGCTTGTTGCTTTTATGCCCTCAACTGTTACCCTGACCACTCCACAGGGACGACAAGTTTGAAAAAAAGTAATCTGTTTGTAACATCAGAGGGGGGAAGGAAAGTTAAGCCCCTGAACTGAGCCTGGGCCGGCGCAGGCATGTTGTAATCTGGGAGCAAAGTGCTTCGTCATCGTGGTTTGTGACCGCGGGCCTCTGAGTAAACCCAATGAGGGGAGCAGGTTGATAAACACCGACTGAACTACGGGGAGTCATGTTCAGGAAAACAACGGGCGACGACTGTGAATCTGATTGAAGTTTTAAACGTGATCAGTAGCGGTAGTGTCCTATAGTCACTGCATCTGTTAACTGAATCTGCATTCAATATTTTATAAACGGTGATCATGACGCGACGTTGCAGATAGATTACTCTCTAGGACACGCTGATCTGTGAGTCCGACAGTCTGTCATTGATTGACTAGGGAGACAGGAGAGCGAAGGGAGCTGAAGTCTGAGGTACGAGTCCCTGATGCAAAGTGGGACGTTTCAGAGCAAAATATCAAACAGCTTTAGGACCATCCTAAAGCCTTCTCTGATCACACACTTCCATTCAGCTGTCATCGAAAAGTATTTCGTCTGCTGCATTTAATCATCACTAACAATAAAGTTGTTGTGTTTAGTTACGGTGGGGATTTCTTGTCATAGCAGACGGGCAATTTTCCAGGAACCGAAGATCCCTGCTGACATACATCGATCCACATCAAAGAGGATCTGGAGAGCTTTTCCTCCCTCATTAATGCCACAAAATGAATGAGGGCACATTAATAAGCATATTCAGACTGGTCACTACCTCAGGGTCCAGTTACAACCAGATATTTAAACAATGGACAAAAAGACTATTTATTTCCTTACTGTCTGACATTACCTCATGCTAAAGTTATTTATGTTTGCCAAATCCCAGAATAATGAGTCAGTGTCAGTAACTGAGTCAGTAGTATTTGGCAGAATCAGCTTTTAAACTTTATGACTTGGGTCAAACACTTTGTGTGTTCTTACACAATAGCTGGCTGGAATTTTGGCCCATTTCACCCAAGGGAACGGCTGTAACTGGGTCAGGCTGTGGACCCCCCATGATGCCTTTGAAGTGATTTGGTGGTGAGCTGATGGCCTGTGTCCATTTCTATCACCAAACTTTAACTTCTTGTCTGAATTCAATGTTACAATTAAAATGAAGTGTTTTTATTCTCAACAGTTGTTGGGTCTTCAGACATGACTGACAGAAATGTAGATGTTTTCCAGACATACATCAGAGCTACACACCTGCGTACTTGCATACACATCATTCAGATGTTTTGAATGAACCTATCAGAGGCTTGCTAAGCTACGAAATCATCGACGGGGTGGTCCTAGGTTATTTGGGTCTTGTCTTCTTAATGCAGGAGTCTACATCCTACGGCTCCAGAAAACTTTGACCAAAAATGACAGAGAAACAGCTGCAGTTTTAAAAAAAGATCGAGCAACAAATGCATTTTTCAATTAAATTACCTTAAATTTTTTCACAGCAGATTTACAATAAAAGTGGCAATCGTTTTTATTCAGATCTACGTTTCCTTTTATTATACTGGAAACTATGTGCAAATATTAACATCCTGTGTAAAAAAATGTAGACATCTTTTTGGAAACATGCTGTTTTTTGGGGGTTTTTTTTACATACATAGAAACCTGAAAATAGGCAGAAAGTGGTTACTTTCTGCCTATGTAAAAATGTGCTGTTAAAAATAACAGCACATTTTTATAAAAAATAGATACATATCTGCGGTCATTAGAAATTTATAAAAGAAACAACTATAAGATGTCTCTTTGCAAAAGATTTGATAACATTTGCGGCGCTGGACTGAGGGTAAAAATGACTGTTTGTATTGTGAAGGTTGCAGATCCAAGTCTTAGTGTATATGAACCTCACAGGGCACCGGGGATAATCATCCTGTGAGGATGACAACATGCTTGAGTGCAAACACTAAGTTCTGAACTTGCTAAACCTCAGCGACGCAACTTTAGATTGTGTTCTGCTCAAAAGGATTTTTATGTCAGTGCAATTAAACAACAGAGAACGGCTCCAAAACGTTATTAGGTTAATCTATCAACGTGATATGGCTTGCCGCCAAGGGAACTACTCTTGCAGGGGGAGGAATGGCACGAGCAACGCACATGATGCTGAAGCTGGTAGCTGATTCAGAGCTTCTGATTCAGAGCTAACTGAAGGCTTAATTCACAGCATCATTAAGGATTCTGGACTCTTATGATCCCTAGTTCACTAAAGAAAATATTTAAACAGGTCAAACCTCAACTATAGTTGTTTACACGAAGCAGAATCTGCATCAAATTTTTTGCAACTTGTGAAATAAAGACATTTTTTCTTTAAAACAGATTTTTGGCTTTATGGAATCTGTATTTCCAATGTTGACCAATGTGAAAGGGTCAGAGGTCAAAAGTACATAAACATTCCTTGAGAACAATGGCTCCAGTATTTTATCTTGAGTGTCTTATTTCATGGGTAAAAAAAAAAAAAAAGCTTTTGGGGATTTTTTTAAATTCTTGTACACTTCCGATGTATTCTAAAGTTGGACCAGAAACATGACCTGTTCCGCAATAACTATAAAAAGACAAGAAACACACTGACAACATTATTGATAATACCTTGGTTAACGCACATACTTTCTTAGATGTTCACATTCATTAGTAATTTAGCAGGGTAGTCCTTAAAAAAGTGTTTCCCTAGGAAGTGAAAGGAGGAAACACGCTCCAGTCCAGTGACTGACAGCGGTGGAACTGTGAACACAAGACCTCGGTCCGGTGCTCAGACCCCCGGGAGGCGCTCAGATCCCCGGCCGGTGCTCAGAACCCCCGGCCGGCCGGCGCTCAGCTCCGCTGTCTGTCAGACCGTCCTTACCTGCCAGAATAGCCTTGCCCGGGTGCGTTAGCTTGGCTTTCCCCGCCGGGGCTGCAGCAGCCAAAAACTGCGGTCGGTGAAACGGACTCACAAATCCTCTCGGTTCAGACATGCCTGCGGTCCCTCGGCCTAACTTTTTTCTGTTTAAGTCAACACGCGCAGTTAGTTGTCCGCCTCACTCTCGCTCGGTTCTATTGAAGTCGTCATGCAGACTGGCTGCTTTGAGCAGGAGCAGCGCCGCGGACATCCAAAGGCCAGCCAGGCGATGTTGACCATTGGACTTAGTGTGTATCAAGAGTTCATGATGTCTGTGGACTTTTGACAGTAAAGTTCCCTCCGTGGCATTAACGGGGCTTTGAAAGCGCCGACGGGCGGGACAGGACGTGACACTTCGCCCCACCAACACGGAAAAACGCCATGTTTGTTATTTTTAAGGTGGACCGACATTATTTCTCAGAGTTTACCAGCAGAGGGCACTGTTTTTGTTTTACTGGGAATCCAGGCAAAGAGTTTTGCGGCAGTTTTATATGGAAAGGAAAATACCTTAATCAGTGATAGAAATGTTAAATTCTGTTTTAGAATGAACTTTATGCTTCTAATATTTTTCAAATATTTGTGTATGCTATTTAATCATGATTACTCAAGTTGTACACTTAGAATTTATCTCGGTGGACATTTCGGGCCCCACAAGGGACAAGGGCGTAATAAATACATGAATGGATGAGAATAAAGTCATATTATGAGAACGAACTCAAATGAGAATACATTTGAAATACAGGAGAATAAAGTCATAATATTACAACCTTATATTCTCAGAATCTTATGACTGTATTCTCATATTATTATGACTTTATTCTCATGATTCTATTTTTTCTAGGTTTGGTCCTAGTACTCCTCTGTTGTACATGTCAGCAAATTAGAATATTATTTTTTTTTTAAAGTTCACAACTGTTTGTCAGTCATTTCAGAAATGAAATCCATATTATATTTTCAATGCACATAAAGCAAAGTATTCCAAGTCTCTATTTGTTGTGATTTTGATGGCTCTGGCTTACGCATAATGAAAACCCAAAGTTCAGTGTCTCAGTGGCAAAGTGAACTAGAAACACGTGTGTTACTGTAAATGTTCTGACCTTGTTGAAGGGTTTTCATTCATCACTTGCCATAACCATAGAAGCACTATTGGGTTACAAGCTAACAGCAAACAAATAGTCTGGCAATCACCATTAATATTGGTCACTAAAGGCAATCGGGAAAAAAAGCACAATTTGAACATCATCTAGCATTTCATAACTTGCATGTAGCATGCTTTTTTCACAAATTGTAAAGGTACATTTCAAAATGTCAAAGTGTAATTTAAGCATTTCTCTCTCAAATATTCCAAATAATTTAGTGCACTGAATCAAGTTTCTTTGCTACAATATTTTGTAGCTAGTGGTTAGCTCAGTAAGCTAAGTCTATTCTTCGTACTTCGTATTCTTTTCAGCTATCCTTTCTCAAGTTTACGGGCACGATAAATTGCCGCTGCAATTTTCTTCACAATACCGAAATAAAATTAATCGAAGGTGTTGAAAAGAGAAACATCTTCTTTAGTGGACTTAGACTTGCAAAAAAACAAAAAATAGAGGAAGTATCCTGGCACCGGAAATAGTGCTTCCTGTTGTCATGGGGAAAAAAAGCTTACGGTTCTCTGCAACGTCTTGAAAGCAAATCATTTTAATTCAGTAAATACACATATATTACGAGAAACATGTGGAAGACACATTATAACGGAATATCACTCGAAGAAGTGACAACGTTTCGGCAACAGGAAACAGCCACTTGACAGCTTCTGGGTTGTCATGGCAACAAGAAACAAACAGGAAGTGAGGCCCTCATGACAAGAATCGTTGCCCAAAACAACCAACGAGCAGACCGTTGTTTCTTCAACACTTGTCTAATTCTGTAGTTCATCATTTTTCTCTCTGTTAGCATCCATGGGTAAAAGCAGTTCAAAAAGTGGCGAACCAAAAATTGAAAGACAAGTCGTTTTTAAGTCCGAGGACGGAAAAGTGTTCAGGAATCCTGCCATCTACTACAACGAGAACGACAAAAAGTTGTTTGCCTTTGCAGAGAAACGGACATCCCAGGATGATTCTGACGCAGTGGCTCTGGTCATGAGAAAAGGGAAAGTGAACTTTAAGTCGGAAGTGAAGGTATTTATGGTGAAGCGGCTAAAATCCCATTTATTGCCTGTACAATGCCCGTTATATTGCCATTGTCATGTTGAACCCCCCCAAAAAATGAGACATAAATCAAAACCCAGCACAATAGAAAACCGTTTTCCCTCCCATTAGCAACGGCTGAACAGAATCACATTTGATTTTAAACAACCCCACCTCTTTTCCTAGTAAATACGCCCCCTAGTGGAGATTATCGCAACAACAAAAAAAAAGATGAATGGCACATATGTGCAGCAACTAATTATTTCAACAGAACACAATCTAAGACATTAAATAAATCTGTCACATGCTGTATGTATTGTTTCACCCTAAGTTCTAAATCATATTTAATTAATCTTTTTCAGTGGTCAAAGCCTATAGAAGTAATGAAGAAGTGCTCCTGTGGATATCGTCCAATGAACCCATGTGTTGTGTATGAAAAACACACAGAGACACTGTTCCTATTCTTCATCTATGTCAATGAGACAGAGCAGTTTCAGCTAACACATCACCTTAACTTGGCCCGTCTGTGCTACATCACAAAGAAGAAGAATGAAGACAAGTGGAGTGAATTTACTGATCTGACTGACCAGTTGCCTGAGATGAATAACTGGTCTACGTTTGCTATTGGACCGGGCCACGGCATTCAAACTAAGAGTGGCAGAATGATTGTTCCAGCTTACGCTTACGTTGGTCCAGAAGATGAAAAACCAAGTCCACATGCATTCTGCTTTTATAGTGATGATTGTGGTAACACATGGGAATGTGAGGAAATGCTGCCTGAAACATCGATGGAATGTGAGATGACTGAAATTTTTAATACCAACAAAGGAGACCGCTTGATCTACTGCAGTGCTCGCAGTTTGGGAGGCCAACGAGTTCAGGCTACGATAGATAAGACTGGTTTCCATACACTCACAACTATTTCACCCCTTAAGGAACTACAGAAAGGTTGCCAGGGGAGTGTGATTTCCTTCCCAGCTCAGTCTGGAGATGCAAAAACCAGTCAGGAAAAGTGGCTACTATTTTCACACCCAACAACGCAGATGTCAGATTGGGAAAGGCTTCATTTGGGAGTGTATCTGAGCACATCCACAGCGAGATCAGAAGGAGACTTTAATTTAACATGGAGCCAACCCTGGGTCATTAACAAGGGGCCCAGTGGTTACTCTGACCTGACCTACATTGAAGATGGCTGGTTTGCATGTCTGATGGAGTGTGGAGAGAAATCTGCTACAGATGAGATAGCATGTCAGTTGTTCAGCTATGACGAGGCCCTGAAGGGCATTCCAGGCTTCCAGACTTGAAAAAACTGTAGCATCATTTTTCAATCGAAGAATATTTTGTGTGGTGTAATTAGTACAATGTAGACCTCATGTTGAGTCCTTGAGCAGCTATCAAACATTCTGTTAATAAATCGGTATTAAATTCTATATTAAAATTGTTTGTCGTATTGTTCCGATGTAATATTCTAATTTTAATTGTTGTGTTTTCATTAGCTATGCGCAGAAAGCAGAAGCTAAACCATTTGTATCCTCTCCAACAACTGTTCTAAGTTAGCAGGGCTTCATAGCCACATTGCCTTTATCTGATTCTCTTCAATTTGGTTTGCTTTAATGAATATTAACTATTTTAAACTAAATCTGTGGAATTAAAAAATTATTTAGTTCAATTTAATCTGAAAGTGATTTCATCATTCTCCGAATAGAATATCAGAATATTGTGAATGAGTGTGTTCTGTATTTTTATTTTTGACTTATCTTTGAATTTATATGTTTTTAAGCGAACCCCCGTCATCTTTGGGACACAATAAACCTAGATACTTGTCTTGAAAACATCAGTGTGTGGTGTGTGTGTGTAGAAACCTTTATTTATTTATTTAATTTGAACAGACAAATACTAATTACAAGAAAAAATTAAAATAGAATATGGGGACACTTTTCCAGGGCGTCCCCACCATGCAGGTTTGAGTCATTATATATTTGTATTTGTTCTGTTAACTTAGGCTCCACATTTATAAATAAAATGTGAATTCGGAGAGAAGCATTAAATCTCTCCCCATTTGAGAATTAAAAGTCCTGCGTGTTTTTATATATTCCACGAGTTTGTCACTTCTATTCCTCAGTGGAATCAGGTTGGAATTTTTGTCCTGTATTATAAGAGGTCTCTCTGTATTCCTTGAAGTGAGACCTGCACAGACATAATTAGCAGAGACACATATTTTTGCTTAAAGAGAACAGATTATTTCATGTCCTCACATACATGTCAATTTTAGCAATCATTGTAATCAAAGCATTGATTTTTGGAAGATCTCAGATGCAGACTCTATGGAATACATAGATGACTTTGTTAAATGTGAGCTGACAGTGTTTGCCTCATTCTTGGTCAGAACTTTGTGGATCGGTGTGTTCATGGTCAGTTTTCATTTCTTTATGGTCAAACTGCAAGATGCAAGCACTGGTTTTGAGTCAGGCAGGTGCAGAAATGATGAAAAATTAAAAAAAAAAAAAAAAAATGTTTTCTGACAGTCAACTGTCTGAGTCTGACCAGATCCAGTCATCCTCAATATTGAAAAAATGACACAAGAAGAAATCCTTTTGTTAAGAAGAAATTGTTAAGAAGAAATCCTTTTGGGAACAAATCAAATTGTAATTTTACAATTAGTAAAATGATTTGTCCCTTTAATTGATTCAATGACAATAAAACAAAGGAATTATTAAAATTGGGAATTTTCAAAATAAGAGTTATGCCCTGCATAGAATTGCTTCTGGAATAAATTGATCACAATAAAAAAAAAAAATGATTGAATGACCATGATGGCATATTTTACATTTACCAACAGCGTTTATGCTGGGACCCCCATGTTTTTTAAAGCTCTTTCATGACACACATTGACTTACAATTTAGCAGAACAAATAAGACAAAATGAAAAGAACATTTAAAAAAAAATCAATATCTCTGTATCATTGTTCATGTTGGAGTTTTTTGATCGTATTGATAATTTTGATGATGACGCTCGAAGTGATGACGCTTCTGGGTTGTCATCGCAACAAGAAACAAACGGGAAGTGAGCGCCCATTACAAAAAAATCGTTATAAGCAGACCGTTGTTTCTTCAACTCTTGTCTAATTCGGTAGTTCATCATTTTTCTCTCTGTTAGCATCCATGGGTAAAAGCAGTTCGAAGAGTCGCAAACCGAGATTTGAAAAAGAAATCGTTTTTAAGTCCAAGAAAGGAGAAGTGTTCAAGATTCCTGCTATTTACTACAACGACAACGATAAAACGTTGTTTGCCTTTGCAGAGAAGCGGACATCCCAAGAGGATTCTGACGTAGTGGCTCTGGTCATGAGAAAAGGGAAAGTGAACCGGAAGTCGGAAGTGAAGGTATTTATAACAAATATGGATTTTTTTTTTAATTTTTTTTTTGCCAACTAAAGTCCCATATTTTAGGCTACTGGTTGCTTTGGTTTTACATGCGCTCAATAAAGATTCGCTGCATGATTTGGACTTAATCATGAAGGCATTTATTTCCTTTACAGTTTCCATTGTGCCGCCATTTTCATTTTGACGCAAATAAATGAGACGAAACTCAAAACCCAGCAGAGCAGAAAACCGTTTGTCCTTCCATTAGCAACGCCTGAACAGAATCACATCTGGCTTTGAATTCACCCGTGTTCAGTTGAAACAATAGACTTTATTTGATAAATACTTATTTTAAATGTGAAAAATACAGTAATAATACTGTAGGGTATTTAGTTTGTATAAATTGTTGTTCCTGCTGCAATGCATTCTGGGTATGCTGATTCCGACTGCGCGAGCTGCATCCAGCCAAAACAGCAATGAGCAACGATATTAAACCTTCAAACTGAACTGAAGCGCGTTGAAATGGATGGGAATGTATGAAATTCAATCTTTAGTCCTTTAGATAAGAACTAAAACAGGAAGAGGACAGAGTAGACCACCGTAGTTTAGCTGCTGCTGCCACCTTCAGCTTTGTAAATGAAACAATGAATGTGTTTGTGGCCGCAGTAAAGCTGCCCGAACCAGCGGAACCAGCTCTCGGTTGAAAGGATTCTAACCTCTTGACCCCGATGGGCCTGACCCAAGCGGGTCAACTAGGGCTCGCATTAAGTTGGTGTCGAGGAGAATTCAAGCTTAGCAGGAACCGAACACAGTTGGGAAATCCAGCAAAACAGGAAACATTACATCAGTTGCAAAAATCACCAAATTATATAACCCTAAAAGTGTGGCTGAATGAACCTTCTGAATGTAATAAATTTCCTAGAAGACAAACAGAGAGAGCGCGACTCATACATACGAAAAGCCCTTTCCTGAGTTGATCCATTAGTTCCTTATGTGAAAAAAAATGAAATTTTCCTCAATTAGCCCCAAAATTGAGAATGCAGCCCCAAAAATCAAATTGAAAACAAAATATTGAACTTGTTCTTGGCACAAACTAGGAAAGTTCTTGGATTAAACAAAGAGGAAAAACTCAGCATGGAGCAGCAGTCTTGACAGTTCAACCAAATTCTGAAACCTCAACCTTTGGCCTCATCAGGGTTCTTTGCTCTGGTTGAGGCTAATTTTGAACACGAAGTCTGTCCCTGAGGCACAACCCCAAATGCCAGTGAGTGCTTTTGCTTAATACGTTTTTGGGCGATGCGTATGTGACTTTTTGCATGAATCAATAAAATCATGCTTCCTTAGTGGAAAAAAATCTACTTCTTTTACATCAGAACTGTTGTGAAAGAGTTTCCCGATGACCACCTATACTCTGCCCAAAACAGCTTCCGTTTTTCTTACACCACATCTAAGTCTGTTCCTTATCTTAAGATCAATACGTCTTATAAATTTGCAAAAAAAACAACAAAAAAAACCGAACATAATTTAGATGACAAAGACTTACTTTGTACATCACATTACTTCCCATTATTGAGGTCATTGTTCAATATTAATTCATTTTTGATATTTGCAGCATTCAGTTCTTCAGTTAGCAAAAATCATCAAACTGCTGACGATATTGACTTATCAATTATATAACTAATGCAACTTAGAGCAACATTCCATCATTACAACCTCGTCATTCCTCCGACATTCTCAGTACACAAAATGAGAGTGGAGATAAATGCATGAAAAAGAAAAAAAAAGAATGGCTCCTACATATGTGATTGTGATTACAACAAAACACAACCTATGACATTAAATAAATCTGTCACATGCTGTATGTATTGTTTCAACCTAAGTTCTAAATCATATCTAATTAATCTTTTTCAGTGGTCAAAGCCTAAAGAAATAGTGAAGAATTGCGACTGTGGATATCGTCCAATGAACCCATGTGTTGTGTATGAAAAACACACACAGACACTGTTCCTATTCTTCATCTATGTCAATAAGACAGAGTTATGGCAGATAGAGCATCACAAGAACAAGGCCCGTCTGCGCTACATCTCAAAGAAGAAGAAGGACAAGAAGTGGAGTAAATTCACTGAGGTTACCAACCTGCTGCCTGTGTTTAAAAACTGGTCTACGTTTGCTATTGGACCAGGCCACGGCATTCAAACTAAGAGTGGCAGAATGATTGTTCCAGCTTATGCGTTCACAAAAGACAAAGAACCGACTCCACATGCATTCTGCTTTTATAGTGATGATTGTGGTAAGACATGGGAATGTGAGGAAATGCTGCCTGAAACATCGATGGAATGTGAGATGACTGAAATTTTTGATGGCAACAGAGATCGCTTAATCTACTGCAGTGCTCGCAATCTAGGAGGCCAACGAGTCCAAGCTACGATAGATCAGACTGGTTTCCATACACTCACAACTATTTCACCCCTTGAGGAAGTACAGAAAGGTTGCCAGGGGAGTGTGATTTCCTTCCCAGCTCAGACTGGAGATGCAAAAACCAGTCAGGAAAAGTGGCTACTATTTTCACACCCAACAAAGCAGAAGTCAATTTGGGAAAGACTTGATTTGGGAGTGTATCTGAGCACATCCCCAGTGACATCAGTTGCAGAATTTAATGTAGAGTGGAGCAAACCCTGGGTCATTAACAAGGGGCCCAGTGGTTACTCTGACCTGACCTACATTGAAGATGGCTGGTTTGCATGTCTGATGGAGTGTGGAGAGAAATCTCCTACAGATGATATAGCATGTCAGGTGTTCAGCTATGACGAGGTCCTGAAGGGCATTGCAGGCTTCCAGACTTGAGAAAACTGTAGCATCATTTTTCAATCAAAGAATATTTTGTGTGGTGTAATTAGTACAATGTAGACCTCATGTTGAGTCCTTCAGCAGCTATCAAACGTTCTGTTAATAAATCACATATTTCTGTATTAAAATTGTTTATTGTATTGTTCCAATGTAATATTTCAATTTTAATTGTTGTGTTTTCATTAGCTATGCGCAGAAAGCAGAAGCTAAACCATTTGTATCCTCTGCAACAACTGTTCTAAGTTAGCAGGGCTTCATAGCCACATTGCCTTTATCTGATTCTCTTCAATTTGGTTTGCTTTAATGAATATTAACTATTTTAAACTGAAAATGTGGAATTAAAAAATGATTTAGTTCTATGTAATCTGAAAGTGTTTTCATCATACTCGGTCAGAATATTGTGAATATGTGTTCAAGGTCAGTGTCCATTTCTTTATGCTCAAACTGCATGTACTATATTTTTATTTTTTGACTTATCTTTGAATTTATATGTTTTTAAGCAAACCCCTGTCATCTTTGGGACACAATAAACCTAGATACCTGTCTTGAAAACATTAGTTTGTGTGTGTGTAATACATGCTAAGAGTGGAACTCTTTCCTAAAGGCGAAAATAGATTTCAAAGGAAAATAAAAAACGTGAGACCGTGGATAATATAAGACATAGCGCCCCCTTCACTTCCGGGGTGCAATGGTCACATTTCCAAATAAGGTATGTGACTGACAGTTGTGCGTCCCCGCCCCTTCCTGTTTGTTGCAGGAAGGTTAACTCGCAACCTAACAAGTAATAATGGACTGACCTCTTTAAAAAGAAGCCGAAGTGTGTATTTCGTTGAGAAAATAACATTGACTATGCTCACTCTCTTTATAATGTTAGCTATGAGCAATTCAAGCCAGTGCTACCTCGCTGTAAGTTAATGTTAGCTAAAGTTATTGAACTCCATTCCTGTAAAGTTAGTCATCAATATTGAACATATTTTAAAGGCAGGCAAATAGATTTTTTTCCTCAAATTTTAATCTGACAAATTCAAAGCTGATATGTTAGTCAAAGTTGTCCTTCATGGACATTATTTAGCAGCTTGTCTGATGTGACATGGTGCTTGTGTTCTTTGCTTTGGCATCTTTTGCCACTTGTAGACCCATTTTAGCCACATGTAGACCCATTTTAGCCAAAGGACAAAATGAACCGATGAAGAAAACTCGGCTAAAAATATCAGCAGGGCTCTACAGAAAGTCTCAACTGCAAGATAGTTCAGATTTTTATCCGTCTAGAATAAAAATGACCACAACCATCTGAGCATGTCCAGACACCTTTAAAGATCTGCTTCCAGCACAATAAAATCTGTTTCTCTGTGTCAATTGTTCATGTTGGAGTTATTAATCCTTCAGTCACTGATTTACCAAATGTAAAACATCTCTAGTACTTTGAATTTCTTCATGAATACTTGTCTGAGTTAAACAGAAGAATTATAATACAGTTTACATGGCAACCTGGCACAAAGAAGCACAAAAAGGTGGACAATAGCCCCATCTACTGTTCGTCTTCTATGCACCACAAATCTGGAACAAACTTCCAGAAAAGAGAAACTGAAAGTTCCTTTAAAATCAAGTCTAAACCTCTGCTGTGTAGTCTGTTGAGTCATTATTTATCTTTACTTGACAAATGGAACCAACATAACATGATTTTGATGATGACGCTCGAAGTGATGACGCTTCTGGGTTGTCATGGCAACAAGAAACAAACGGGAAGTGAGCGCCCATTACAAAAAATCGTTATAAGCAGACCGTTGTTTCTCCAACTCTTGTCTAATTCGGTAGTTCATCATTTTTCTCTCTGTTAGCATCCATGGGTAAAAGCAGTTCGAAGAGTGGCAAACCGAAATTCGAAAAAGAAATCGTTTTTAAGTCCAAGGAAGGAGAAGTGTTCAAGTTTCCTGCTATTTACTACAACGACAACGATAAAACGTTGTTTGCCTTTGCAGAGAAGCGGACATCCCAAGAGGATTCTGACGTAGTGGCTCTGGTCATGAGAAAAGGGAAAGTGAACCGGAAGTCGGAAGTGAAGGTATTTATAACAAATATGGATTTTTTTTTTTTTTTTTTTTTTTTTTTGCCAACTAAAGTCCCATATTTTAGGCTACTGGTTGCTTTGGTTTTACATGCGCTCAATGAAGATTCGCTGCATGATTTGGACTTAATCATGAAGGCATTTATTTCCTTTACAGTTTCCATTGTGCCGCCATTTTCATTTTGACGCAAATAAATGAGACGAAACTCAAAACCCAGCAGAGCAGAAAACCGTTTGTCCTTCCATTAGCAACGCCTGAACAGAATCACATCTGGCTTTGAATTCACCCGTGTTCAGTTGAAACAATAGACTTTATTTGATAAAACTTATTTTAAATGTGAAAAATACAGTAATAATACTGTAGGGTATTTAGTTTGTATAAATTGTTGTTCCTGCTGCAATGCATTCTGGGTATGCTCATTCCGACTGCGCGAGCTGCATCCAGCCAAAACAGCAATGAGTAACGATATTAAACCTTCAAACTGAACTGAAACGCGTTGAAATGGATGGGAATGTATGAAATTCAATCTTTAGTCCTTTAGATAAGAACTAAAACAGGAAGAGGACAGAGTAGACCACCGTAGTTTAGCTGCTGCTGCCACCTTCAGCTTTGTAAATGAAACAATGAATGTGTTTGTGGCCGCAGTAAAGCAGCCCGAACCAGCGGAACCCACTTCCGCTCAAGACTGGTCACATTAGGTCGCCCATCGCAACCAGCAGCCACTCCCGTTAACGGCGAAAGAGTATAACCTGTCCGAAACAACTTCCGCTTTTCTCTCACCACATCTGAGTCTCTTCCTTATCTTACCGATCAATACATCTTATACAAACAAAACATAATTTAGATGACAAAGACTTACTTTGTACATCACATTACTTCCCATTATTGAGGTCATTGTTCAACATTAATTTATTATTGATATTTTCAGCATTCAGTTCCTCAGTTAGCAAAAATCATCAAACTGCTGACGATATTGACTTATCAATTATATAACTAATGCAACTTAGAGCAACATTCCATCATTACAACCTCGTCACTCCTCCGACATTCTCAGTACACAAAATGAGAGTGGAGATAAATTCATGAAAAACAAAAATGAATGGCTCCTACATATGTGCAGCTACTATTACAACAGAACACAACCTAAGATGTTGAATCTGTCACATGCTATATGTATTGTTTTACCCTAAGTTCTAAGTCATATCTAATTAATCTTTTTCAGTGGTCAAAGCCCGAAGAAGTAGTGAGGAAGTGCTCCTGTGGATCTCGTCCGATTAACCCATGTGTTGTGTATGAAAAACACACACAGACACTGTTCCTTTTCTTCATCTATGTCAATGAGACACGGTTATGGCAGATAGAGCATCACGAGAACAAGGCCCGTCTGTGCTACATCACAAAGAAGAAGAAGGACAAGAAGTGGTGTAAATTTATTGAAGTGACCGACCTGCGTCGTGCGTTTAAAAACTGGTCTACGTTTGCTATTGGACCAGGCCACGGCATTCAAACTAAGAGTGGCAGAATGATTGTTCCAGCTTATGCGTTCACAAAAGACAAAGAACCGACTCCACATGCATTCTGCTTTTATAGTGATGATTGTGGTAAGACATGGGAATGTGAGGAAATGCTGCCTGAAACATCGATGGAATGTGAGATGACTGAAATTGTGGATACCACCAAAGGAGACTCCTTGATCTACTGCAATGCTCGCAGTTTGGGAGGCCAACGAGTCCAAGCTGCGATAGATCAGACTGGTTTCCATACACTCACAAATGTTACACCCCTTAAGGAACTACAGAACGGTTGCCAGGGGAGTGTGATTTCCTTCCCATCTCTGTCTGCAGATGAAAAACCCACTCAGGAAGTGTGGGTACTTTTTTCACACCCAACAACTCAGACCTCAGATTGGGAAAGATTTGATTTGGGAGTGTATCTAAGCATTTACCTTGTAAGATCAGTTGGACATTTTAATTTAGCATGGAGCCAACCCTGGGTCATTAACAAGGGGCCCAGTGGTTACTCTGACCTGACCTACATTGAAGATGGCTGGTTTGCATGTCTGATGGAGTGTGGAGAGAAATCTGCTACAGATGATATAGCATATCAGGTGTTCAGCTATGACGAGGCCCTGAAGGGCATTGCAGGCTTCCAGACTTGAAAAAATTGTAGCATCATCATTCAGTTGAAGAATATTTTGTGTGGTGTAATTAGTGCAATGTAGACCTCATGTTGAGTCCTTCAGCAGCTATTAAACATTCTTTTGATGAATATTCTAATTTCCATTGTTGTGTTTTCGTTAGCTATGCGCAGAAATCAGAAGCTAAACCATTCGTATCCTCTGCAACAACTGTTCTAAGTTAGCATTGCCTTTATTTGATTCTCTTCAATTTGGTTTGCTTTAATGATTATTAACTATTTTTAACTCAATCTGTGGAATTAAAAAATGATTTAGTTCAACGTAATCTGAAAGTGATTTCATCATACTTTTTATGCTCAAACTGCATGATGCCAGCACTGGCTTTGAGTCTGCTTGATAAACCCCATAATTCACTCTACTGTAATCTTATATGTTGTTGTATTTGTACATGTCTGCTGGCTGTGCATTTATCAATAATTTATAAACATTTCTCATTTTTGACTTTGAAAAAATATATCTCTACAACCCCAGAGTCACTTGAGTATTTCTGTGGACCATAGATGTCGGATGTGTGCTGGAAGTCTAAAGTGTAGATAGTGAAAAGGAATGGTGAGAGTACATTGCCCTGTTGTGCTCCAGTGTTGCTGACCACCAGATCAGTCACACAGTCCTTCAGTCTCACAAACCGTAGTCGGCTTGTGAGGTCGTCATAGATCCAGGCGATTTCTGAGGTCTGCACCTGTGTCTTCTGGAGTTTCTGATAAAGCAGATTGGGCTGAATTGTTTTAAACGCACTTGAGCAATCAAAGAACATGATCCTCACAGTGCGGCATGCTTTGTCCAGACGGTGGGTTTGTTGAACCAGATGTTTGATGGTGTCTTCAACTACATCTCCATGGCGATGAGCAAACTTTTGACATGAGTTTGTCTGTTAATTTATGTGGACCATTTTTTAATTATTTTTTTATTATTGTATCATATGTATTGTTCAGATTACATTTACTTATCACTCACTAATTTACCAAATATAAAACATTTGTTGTACTTTGACCTTCATTCTGAGTGTGGCTGAGTCAATTAAAACACAGGCAACGCGCGGCACAAAGTAGGACAAAGAAAAGGACTATTACTCCATCTACTGGCCATCTTGTAAAAATGTTTCTTTGAGTCAGTTCTAGGCAGGACATTAGGATGTTTTCATAGACTTTTAACATTCCCATTTTATTTTTTTCTGAGCTGTAGGTCTCTGATGCTCCTTCAGAGTTAGCATCGGCTTTTTGGCCGATTCTCTCTCCTTTGTGACCAGTCAGTTTTAGAAGGGCAGCCATGTTTTAGTAGGTCTGCAGCTTTGAAGTATCATTATTATATGCAGATATTGAAAGATTTGTAACCCAAACCCACTTTAAACTTACAAATTCCTTCTTGACCTATCTGTTGAGTTAGTTGGTCTTTGTCACGTTGGTATGACGATCTGTTATAAACATCCCTGAAATGCACCATAGGATTATCTCCATCACTATGTTGTTGTCCATACTGGTGATTATATCACCAGCAGACCAAAACAACCTGGTCAATATGACTCCTGGTGTTATTAACTCTTATATGCTCTCCTTGGTTTATTCTAACAACAAAATTTAAACAGAACTGCATGTTTGCAGAACCAAGCTGGTTCTGCAAACACCAATGTAGCAATTTCTGCTATATCAGTATCAAAATTAACAGATTTTTTTTTCATGTTTTCTTCTGGCATATCTGAGTTTTTCTACTTTTGCAGGGACTTTGCATTGACGTCCATTCATTTTTCATTAATTTCTATTGCCTAATCCTCACCCTTACTCTAAACCTAACCACAAGTACATGCCTAACCCGAAACCTTATATCTACTCAATTCTTAATACTTTAGTCCTACACATAACCCCTGACCTCAAAACAGCACCTCTTCTGATGGGATACTGGCTTAGCGACCCGTAAGGAGCAGTCGGTCCCCACAACGTATTTTTTGTCTGGAAAATGGTCCTTACATTCATTGTATCAAAAACAAGGTCACACACACACACCACCACACACACACACACACACACACACACACACACACACACACACACACACCCCACACACACACACACACACACACACACACACACACACACAGAGGCGATCTCACTGATGCACTACAACATCTGTTTGTGCTTTCAGGCTGAATGGGAGTTTCAAAACAAACACCCATCTTCTGATGCATATCACCTCTTTGCAAAAATAGAAACTTCTGCTTTTACCTCTTCATTTATGTGTGTGTAGGGGTGTAAGCTTGTGTTAGTATTTACACGCCCATGTGTAAACACAATAAGAGCATCACCTTATTGTATTTTAAATCAACCTAAAAAAAAGATGGCTTCATGAATAGTTGCCCTGCTAGCAGGGATTGATAAGCTTTCAATTCAATTGTCACACTTTTTCTCTTAACCCATTCTCCTTTGTTTGTAGAAATTTCATGAACAGCTGATATTGCTATGTGTTAAACATCATTGCAAAAGAAAAGAATGAAATCTGTGTGCATAAAATTATTTGCATGTAAAACCATGCTAGTGCCTATTTATGCACAGTTTCCCTCCATGCCTGTAACTGAGTGCATTTAGATGAGTGAACTGATGAGGCTCCTTCCATAGAACTATGCAAACAAGAACAAGCGTCCACTGTGGTCCAATCAGGAAAGTCCAAGTTCTGCTGCAGACAAAGGAAGAACTTCTTGATCAGAATGTTTTATTTGGAGTTTTACACCCTGTAGCAAGTATAGAAAATAAAGTAAAAAGCTGGCATCTGATGCACATAGAGGTAAAAATATGGCTGAAAAAAATGAAAAAATAGGGTCAGCAACTTAAATAATTGTTGTGTTTGCAATCCACCAATCAGAATGTTTTCCTCATGGAGAGGTGTGTGTGTGTACCTGGTGTCCTGTTTAGTCCTGATACATACAGAAATAAATGTAAGTTGCAGGAAATACACAGTATCTTGATTTGTTTTCATTTTTTTAAAGTGCTTCAATTATGGTGAAAATGTAAACTAGCTGCCAGATGTTTTTTTTGACCTTTCTAATGTTAAATCTAATCCTCTTAATTTATGAAAGTATATTTGTATCTGCTCACAGGATTTGCATTGTTGCTGCCATCAGCAGCAGTCTAGATAAGTTAAAGTGAGGTAAAATATTTATATTCATTATAAGTTGTGGAAATATTTCTGGAGTGGAACCAATGTTAAATGGTTGTTTCATTTAGGCACATATTTTTAGTTAGACACGGCACTCGGTAGTTTCTGTATTAACCCTTTCAGGTTGAAGCGGCCAGTGAGGTACACATTTTTGTGTTTTAATTTGTGCGTAATAATTGTCTATTCTCTATGTGAATGTTTTTCTGTAAAAATGTATTTTGTGTTTTGTACAGTTCTCACGGCATAATTATTAAACGCCAGTAACAACCATGAACGCCTTGTTTCGTTTTCTGCCTGGAGGGAGTTATATGCATTCTGTGTGGAAACATTCACAACAACTGGAAAAACTCGTTTTTGGAAAACTGCTCTGTTAACCGACTCTCAAACAAGGAGTTTTTGTAAAAGGTTCGTAAATATCCCCCCCGTCGCGTCTATTTTTACTGGCAAATGTACAGGCTGTGTGGATGTCAATAATGTTTACATTTTTAAAAATGTGTTTTATTATTACTATCAAAGGGACAAAGGCAGTGAGTGTTGCTTTTTATACATACAAATGTTGTAGCTACAGCTAATTTGCAACCTGTGGACCTACCTAGACTTGAAGACTTAAAACATATATAAACCTATACAGAGGTTTTCTGTCTACAATGATTATAGACAACAATAACAATACTAATAAAAGCATAAATGAAATATAAATCCTTTAACCTTCCCTGACAGACACATCAGCAGCATCTGAGTGGGATGCAGCCATCACTAAAACACCTGCGGCCTCATTCCGCCCCTTCACCCCCCACTTCAAACGTCTCTGCTCAGCTCTCGCCGCTCGCGCGCTCCTCCGAAGTAGGTGAGCGGCGCGCGGAGCGGAGCGGGGCGGCGCGGCGCAGACCTGTCTCTTTAAGTGCGTGTCAAAGCGGATTACGGCTGATCTCCGTTGTGATTCTGTTTTCACCGTCTGCTCCTCTGACTCTGTTTTCATATTTGCTGCCGTTGAGTGTGCCAATCTTTGTCCTTTTTTGTGGATTCTTTCTCTCTATATATATATTTTTTTACATTACTTTCGTGCGCTAACTCCCCTCTTAAGTTTCGTGGGACGCAGACGCAGAGTGAAGTGTTGCTGTAGTTACTGACTCCGAGAGCCCGCATTAAACTGCCGAGCGGCGGACGTTCCAACTTTTTATATCATGGTAAGCCCGGATTACCTTCTCCAACAGACTGAGACATTAACCGCCTTCCCTCTGGCATCAGTCCGCTAAAAATAACCACAGCAGCAGCAGCAGCAGCGGCAGCGGCAGCCGCATATCGAAGATGCGCCGCGGTGTGACGGCCTCTCCCTGAAGTTTCAGCAAACAGCCCCCCCGCAGACATGCAGAAGAGCGTGCGGTACAACGAGGGCCACGCGCTCTATCTGTCGGTGGCGGCGCGGAAAGAGGGCTCGAAGCGGGGCTACCTGAGCAAGAAGACCACGGAGAACAGCCGCTGGGCCGAGAAGTACTTCGCCCTGTACCAGAACGTGCTCTTCTACTTTGAGAACGACCAGAGCGCGAGGCCCTCCGGCATCTACCTGCTGGAGGGATGCACGTGCGAGCGGGCGCCTGCGCCCAAGGCGACCGCCATCAGCAAGGAGCTCGCGGAGAAACAGCAGGTGCGTGGCGAGCGCGCGGGGAACAGTGAGGAGCTTTGTTTGAAGTCAGCCTGCGGGTCACCGCGGTTCGGTTTTCAATCAAAGCAGCGCCAAAAATAATCAGTTTGCCTCATAAAGTGAGAGGTGAAGGTTTGTTTTATGTGAAAGGTTCCATAGCGCAACGTTTAATGATCAAAATTAGCTGCTTTGCTTTCTTTGCCTTAATTGGAATTGTTCAAACTGGCTTTCTATTAAACACATGCAGTAATGACAGATCAAACTCTTGTTTTCCATGACAAATCA